CTAAGTAGGTGCCTTAGACCACTGAGCCATCTCACCAGCCCCCTATACTGCTTTTTAAGATACTACTTTGATACTTGTTTTGTAGTTCACAGAAAAACTGAGCAGGCAAATGCTTATTCCACTGAGCCATCTCCCCAGCCCCAGAAAAACTGAGCAAAAACAATTTTCAAATACCTTTTTCTAAGGTTCCCATCCTAATGACTTGCATTGAACTTGTGTATTTGTTAAACTGATGAGCCAATATTGGTACATCACTGTTCCAATTTTGATATATTTTTAACCAAATCCCACAGTTGATATTAGAGCTCATGCTATTTTGCACTTCAATGAATCTTTACAAATGCACATTGTCACATATCTATCATTACAGTGTCACATGGGAAAGTTTTACTGCCCTCAGCATTACCTGTATGCTACCTGTTCCCCCACCCGTCCTCTTCCCCTCCCCCAACATGGCAAACATTTCTTTTCTCCCCTTTTCTGTTTTTTTTGGGGGGTTGTTGCAGGATCTCACTACACAGTTTGGACTCACTGTGATCCTCCTGTCTCAGCCTCCCCAGCACTGGGATTACAGTCGTGTGCCATGCCAGGTTCAGGGGCCCCGCATGGCATGCCCAGGGTTCTGGGGCCGGCTCAGCTCTGCATGCAGTACTAGGAATCAAACTCGGAAACTTGCACTTGCCAGGCTGGCACGTATGGCACTGAGCTGTCTCCCCAGCCCACTCATCCTTTTCTTAACTCCGTATTTTTCTCTTTTCCAGAATGTCAGATAGGTGGACTCAGTCAGCAGCCTTTTCAGACCACTTTCTTTACTTAGCAGGATACGAGTAAGGTTCCTCCAGATCTTTCGGGAATGAGTACATCTTTGCAGATGAAATTCGTCTTTCCCTACCCTGTCACTCTTAGAACAAGGACAAACACTGACAAAATAGGGGCAGACCAACCTAAAGGCAGTTATTTTTTTTAATCTTTTTGCGTTTAATTTTTAAAGTTTTGCTTGGAATGTTTTTGGGGGTTCTTTTGAGAGTCTTCCTATGTCATTCAGCTTGGCCTTGAACTCACTGTGGAGCCCAGGCTGGCCCTGAATTCCTGATGAGCCTGCTGTCTCTGGCCTCAGCC